AAGCTTTGGAATATAGCTAAAACAGTGATCAGAAGAAAATTCATTTTTTTTTTTTATAATTTTATTTATTTATTTATTTTTCCCCCAAAGCCCCAGGAGATAGTTGTATGTCATAGGTGCACATCCTTCTAGTTGCTGTATGTGGGTCGCGGCCTCAGCATGGCTGGAGAAGCGGTGCGTCGGTGCATGCCCGGGATCCGAACCCGGGCCGCCAGCAGCGGAGTGCGAGCACCCAACTGCTAAGCCACAGGGCCGGCCCGAAAATTCATTGTTTTAAATACCTTCATCAATAATAAAAAATGAAAGTAAATGAGTTACTAATATAGCTCCAAAAGTCAGAAAAACAATGAAATTAACTGAAGTAGAGGAAAAAACTTATACAGCTAAAAGCAGAAACTAAGGAGTTAGAAAACAGAAAGCCAGAGAACTAAAAAAAATTTCAAAAGCTCTTTTGCTGAGAAAAAAAATCAGTTGATTAAACTACTACCTCTCCTAATCAAGAGTAAAAAGGACAAAGCACAAACACACAAAATACGAAATGGAAGTAAACCAGAGAATAGACAAAATTTCAAAAATAAGAAACTATTTTGTAAAACTCTAGACAAATAAATTAAACATAGATAAAATAAATGATTTTCTAGTAAGATATAACCTACCAAAACTGAACTCAGAAAGCCTAAACAGACCAATTTTCACAAAATAAATGGAAGAAGTCTTAAAAGAGCTACCCACCAAAACACACCAGGCTACAAGATTTTATGGGGGAATTCTACCAAATTTTAAAAGAACTGATAATTTCAATATTATTTAAAAACTGTTGTCCATTTTAGAAAATGGAAAACTTCCAAATTCTTTATGAAGTATATTAATACCAAAACTTGAAAACGACTGCCCCAGAAAAGAGAAAACCATAGATCAGATCAGTCTTACTTTTGCATTTGGATTAAAAAGGTAAAGTATTAATAGAATCCAGAATCCAGTATCACGTTAAAAGAATCCAGAAATACAAGTCTGGTTCAATGTTTGTTAAAAAGAAGAGAAATATCATATTATCAGCTCCATAGATGCTAAAAAGACATCTGACAAAATTCACATCCATTCTTGATTAAAAGTACTTACTAAAACAGGAATCAACAGATGCTCTTATACATATACATACGTATATGTATGCACCATATTTAATGCAGAAACACTGGAAGCATTCCTTCTGAAGTAAAGAATAAAAAGAAGATGCCCACTAATCACTAATGTTTAACACTGTCCTGTTTAGTCAGTCAATATAATCGGATAAGAAAAAAATTAGAGTATAAAAATTCAAAGGATAAAGCTATCACTACCTGTAGATGAAACGATTATAACCTAGAAACTCCCAGAAAATCACTTGAAAAACTATTATAAACAAAAATGGAATTCAAAAAGTCAGAGAGAAAAAAGTAAGTATACAGAAATCAAAAGCCTTCATGTGCATAAACAATAACCAATTAGGATCTATAAACCTATTTAATACCAAAAAAAAAGAGAGAAAATATCCAGGAATAACAACAGAAATGTGTAAATTTTATCAAGGAAAACTCTACAACACTCCTGAAGGAAATAAAAGCAGTCTTGCACAAATGGGAAGTCTTTTCTGGGACAGAAAGACTCAATATCTTTTTTGTGTGTGTGTGAGGAACACCAGCTCCAAGCTAACATCCGACGCCAATCCTCCTCTTTTTTTGCTGAGGAAGACTGGCCCTGGGCTAAAATCTGTGCCCATCTTCCTGCACTTTATATGGGATGCCGCCACAACACGGCCTGACATGTGGTGCATCGGTGCGTGCCCGGGATCCGAACCGTGGCCACCAGCAGCGGAGCGTGAGCACTTGACCGCTATGCCACGGGGCCGGCCCCTCAATATCTTTAAGATGCCAATTTGTCCTAACTTAATTTATAAACATAATGAGATCCAGGGCCGGCCCGTGGCTTAGAGGTTAAGTGCGCGTGCTCTGCTGCTGGCGGCCGGGGTTTGGATCCCGGGCGCGCACCAACGCACTGCTTCTCCCGCCATGCTGGGGCCGCGTCCCACATGCAGCAACTAGAAGAATGTGTAACTATGACATACAACTATCTACTGGGGCTTTGGGGGAATAAATAAATAAAATTATTAAAAAGAAAAACCATAATGAGATCTCAATAAAAAAAACACCCCTTCCCCCCCCCCCCCCCCACCGCCCAGTAGATCTAGAGACGGTGTTTCTAAAGGCTTTATGGTAAAATAAATGAGAATGGCCTAGATAATCCTGAAGAGAAAAATGAGACTAGCCCCAATTAGATATTAAAAGCCATAAAAGAAACGACTGACCAATACATATAAGTGTTCGTGTATGTGTATCTACACACACACACACACACACCAACAAAGAGAAAAACTTCTACATGGCAAAAAACAAAAACAAAAACAAGTGGCTGGCCTGGTGCCCCAGCGGTTAAGTGCACGTACTCCACTTCTGCGGCCCGGGGTTTGCAGGTTCAGATGTTGGGCGTGCACCGAGGCACTGCTTGTCAAGCCATGCTGTGGCGGCATCCCATATAAAGTAGACGAAGATGGGCACAGATGTTAGCCCAGGGCCAATCTTCCTCAGCAAAAAAAGAGGAGGATTGGCATTGGATGTTAGCTCAGGGCTGATCTTCCTCATACACAGATGCAAAAAACAAAAAAAAACCCAAGACCATACCAAACATCAAAAGACAACAACCTAGGGACAATATCTGCAATTCATATCACGGACAAAGGACTCATCTCTTTAATTTAGAAAGCTCTCGGGCTGGCCCCATGGCTTAGTGGTTAAGTGCACGTG